TAAATAACAAATTATGATGGTATTAATATATATTTGCAGATTATACTTACCGGTAACTCGGCCGGAGGACTAGCAACTATTTTGAATTGCGACCGGTTTAAAGCAATGGTACCAACCGCTGCCCGAACAAAATGCATTGCAGATTCCGGTTTCTTCATCATCGCGTAAGAATTGTTACAAATTTTTTTTTATATAGAAACAAGTTCAATTTTTTTTTTATTCTTTATACATATATACCCGAAAATTAGTTCATTAAATAAAATTTTAATAATTTTCCATGTTTTTTATGTACTGCAGAAAAGATCTCCCAAATGCCGATGAAAGAATATCGCATTATAAAGACGTAATTGAACTTCATGTATTGCTCTCTGCCTTTAACTAATCATGCAAGTTAAAAAATAAAAGTTAAATAAATTAAAAATAATGAGAATAAAATCATGAAATTTCATATGAAATGCAGGGAGTCGCAAAGTTTCTGCCATCATATTGCACCTCAAGAATGGCTACAGAATTAGTAAGTTGGTGTTAGGACATTGTTTTTTTTTTTTCCTGCACAAAATCGAATTTCCATTTTTTTTATTGATAATTATGTTGGGAATAATCTTTTGGGCTGAAAAAAATTAATTAAATAATAATGACAGTGTTTTTTCCCCGAGAATTTGGTTGGAGGTGTTCAGACCCCACTCTTCCTGCTGAATTCTGCTTTCGATTATTATCAGGTAATTTTGATTTATAACAAACAAAATAAACACTGAACAATATATTTAGATTTCGTGAAAAAATATTGATTATTATTATCAAAATATGGCTACAAATATTATCCTCAGATAGCTAAAACTTTGAAACCTTATCCTGGGGACAAGCCTGGCTGGGCGAGTTGCACAAATGAAACACAAACTTGCACACCTCGTCATTTTCATGTCATAAAGGGTACGCAATTAAAATTTATTATAATTGATATTTGATACTAATTAATTATAAGATTAACTGTTTAAATACCGTAATTAATCTGAGAATTTAATTTCAGATTTTAAGAATGCATTCCTGAAGGCAGTGGAAGATATTAGTGATTCACCATCAAGAGGATTATTTATAAACTCTTGCTACATTCATGATTTCCTTTGGGCAAATGATAGATGGAATTCTGATAGATCACCAAAGTTGGAAAATAAGGTAACTATATTTTATATTTATATGTTGAAATATTTGTTATTTACTATAATTTCTAAGCATATAACTCGCTTACATTTCGCAGAACGTTGCACAGGCCGTTGGCAATTGGTATTTTGATCGGAGTATTGTCAAAATGATTGACACCCAATCAGAATATCCAATTGAATGTCATCTAGCTAATGACAGATTTTGATGATCATTGCCAAATAAAAAAAAAAAAAATCACAAATGTAGAAATTGTATGATGAATGATGTATTGAACGAAACTATCAATAACTTAAATTGTGCATTGTACTAATATCGTATTCTTAGTCCTTGTAAACTAATAAAGAGGCAGACAAGCTTGCTTGCGAGTTAATTAAATAAAATATTCTGATAAAGAAAATAACCTTAATTAACATATTTCATTTGAATTAAAAAAATAAAAAAATAAAAAGAAAGAAAGAAAGAACCTGACTGGAGGCAGCAAATATAATTACTATTAAAAAAAATGCATTAAAACATGACAATCTTAAATGAAGGGGATGGCATCATGTAAGGTATAGAATTCTCAATATAATGTACAATGAATGATGAGTTCACCAAATCAATGAATTTTGTTCATTACACTATGATGATTTGAGATTGTCACTTATACCCCCTTCTTATTCTTATATTTAAATCATTTTGTGCAATATATTTGTATACTTTATCTATGTATGATTAGCATATGCTATGATAACTCTACCATTTATCCAATTCGTATGGCTCAAAAACTTGATTGTGACAAGTTTTGTCACAAGGAAAAACGCAATCTCCCTTCTGAAATGTGCTTTTGTCGTAAAACCATTCTCCAACAGCTTCAGCAATTGTCTGCATGAGAAGTAGTCTCTTAAAATCAACAAGACAAGTTTGCAAATTTAGAAAAAAAAAACTGAAAATAACAATTATAATAACAATAGCAAAATATCCAAGAAAAGAACAAGTAGACAAGCAACAAGAACTTATATTTTTACCTTGTTATTTAATCTGGGAGAATCGCTAGAAAACCAAGTCTCTTTCATTTCAGTTTGGCAGTGTGCATAGCAAGAGTTTATAAAATATCCTCTTGAGGTTGAGGTTCCTATTTGATGCAGTGCTTTCAAAAACTTCAATCTGAACCCTGAAAACCATATATTAAAAAAAAAAAAAAAAAANNNNAAAAAAAAAAAAAAAGATTACACCAACTTAGTTCGACTTGTATACTTATATATCTTAAGCAGATATTCTTAAAGGTAAAACCTTGCATGGTTTTGAGTTGACTGGCAGAACAGTTTGCAATATCCATTTTGCAGCTGAGCCAGAGCCCGTGAGGGTCAGCTGGAAAGGGAGCTAAAATATTCTTTATCTGGTTAAAATGATAAACGAGAATGAACAATTAATCAGGCAATTAACACTTTTAGTAACTAAAGAAAGAAAATGTAGAGCCCTTAATGTATCTTTGATCTGATGTGTGCTGACTAACCTGCCATGAGTCATAGGCCGCGTTTAAAATGAAAAGGGGCGTTTGAATATATTTCGCCACATTTTGTGGAAATAGGCACTGCAATTTTTGTACTTATTTAGCTAAGTTGTGTTGTTGCAATGAAAATACAAAAATGCTATGGCTTTTATGAAAAATTTATCTTACCAGACTTGATCTCATCTGTGAGGTGCATTGTGAGGGCAAATGCTTTGCTGACCCCTGCATCAAATAAGTTCTTCGATTTTAAGTTACAGATCTAGGAAAAAAATAAAATAAATAAATGATTAAATAGATAAATCGCTTGTTTACATGAGTTGTAACTATATCGTGAAAGTAGGTCTCGATATAGGGTACTCCAGAAACATCCTTCCTGTTTGATAAAATCATTAGCACGAACAAGAACAGAGTAACAAAAGTTCTTTCGACTCTTTGAAAACAAATTAATAGCAAATGTTGAGGTTTTAGATCCAAATGAAACATACGTATCAATGAAAAAACCGGCATCCGAAAGGCATTTTACATTGGTGGTCCTAGGAAACAATTTCTTCAAGTTATCACAATGAAGAATTGTTGTTAATCCACCAGCTGAGCATCCAGATAGAATAGCCTACTCACAGTCACAGACAGCCAAATCTGATTCTTTTTTTTTTTTTTAAATATTGTCAAATTAATTATAAGGAAGATAAATTCTTAGAAAAGTGCAATACGTTTTCAGCTAAGTTCATTCCTCTTGCTAACAAGTCCTCCATGACAGCGTTTAATATCCTTGCTCCTCGATAGTGAAGTTTCGTCCTCTGATAACATATATTTATGAGAAATGAGTAAAATATTAAATAGTTGTATTCCAAAAAAATTTACTTATTATTGAGCTAAACTTACAGGATTTACTGCTTCCACATCACCGGTAAACGACCCACCATCACAGTACCGGATCTTGACTCGGGTCCAATTGTAGAAATCTGGAAGTATAATAAATGAAAATACCGAGCAATCAAAATACGTACAGAGATTAAATCACGGAAATGAGAAAGAGCCGAATTTATTAGCATATATACAGGGATTAAACCGTTCTCTGTTACTCAAGATTCCGGAGAAAGCCAGCTGGTTAACCATTCTATTGGAGGAACCCAAACGGGTGTTCTTACGTGCAAAGCAAGTAGTCACATTATTACACCAGCCCCCTCCCTTAAAATTCCAAAAAAAAAAAATCGAGATTGTATTCAGAAAAATTAACTCATATTATGGTAGTATTTGCATACTGTAAAATTAAAAACAACAAAGTTATGTTCATCTCCTATCAAAAACACATGCTTTATGCACACTCACTTATGAAGAAAAAATTAAAACTATGAACCATGATTTTAGAAAGAAAAATAAAGAAAATGTAACCTCAAATTGGACCAACCAATTGTTAATTCCTTCTCCATAGCCCCTATCAAGATGGTATGCAGGTGGGCTCCCATCCAAACAAACTGAGGAAAGGAAAAATACAGAATATAAGAATAACATAATGGAAAAATGGTGGAAATGCTAGTATAGACCTTTTTTTTTCCTTACATAGAATCAACCAGGAAAATATGTTAATAACACAGATGAGAATTAATAATCTTTACCGGCTCCTTTAGCCACAGCACTCCGAAGGTAAGTAATATTCACCAAAAGGCTTTCCGTTCTTAACAAAATCAGCATAAACACCAATATGTGCAGCCATATCCTTAGTTTACCACACATTAATCCTGTTCATTTTCACAATAAAATCACAGCATGATCATGAAAATAAAATTATTTACCAGAAGAATAAATTATCCAATAGAGTTCACTTATTTTATCTTTGTGGCCAACTGAACATTAATTGTTTCTCTGAATTTTCATATGATGAAATGGTGACAATGTATCAGAGTGTTTCATGCCATTTTATAGTAAGATCATTTCCTAGTTAAGTAGACTTAGGCATTGCACCAAATCCACACAACATTAAGTTTCACAATATCCCAGATAGCTTCATCCTGTTCAGAAATGGAGAAAGGAACAAAAGGGCACATAGGTTACATGGATAAAGCTTGAAACTTTCTCCCAAAAGAGAGGTCAAAAAGAGAAAAGCACAAAAGGGCACACACACGCACACACCCATGTGGATGTGTGCTGATCCGACCCAAAAAGAACTGATGAGGGCTCTATCCACACCCTTGCTTTCATGGAAATAATTCATTGCCCCAAATCAGAGGCAATCATTAACAAACCAAACATGCAATTGAAACAACTATAGCAAAATGTCGCACATCTGTGTATATATGTTTCCAAATTTGTTTGAATCAATTCAGGCCCAGTGACAAAGATAAAAATACAGAACCAAAATGCCGTTAAAAAATGTACCTTACAATCAAAGCGAAGATCACTTCAGTACTTCGATATTGGAGCTGAAAGCAATCTCCAAAAGTCCAAACTACCAAAAAGAAACAGAAGATAAAAAAGTATAGAGATGAAAAGCAAAAAGAAATGATGAAAAAATGAGTATGTTAACTGCACTAACAGCTTTTGGAATAAATGGGATTATTTATTTGGAGTATTATTTATTTGACAGAGGGCATAGAAGCCAAGAGGCTACCGACACTAATTCTTGTGTTGTTCAATGTCTGCGTTTTTTATGGGTGGAGAGCTTTTATAGGGTTTTTCTTATTCCTTTACTGGATTTTATTTTTTTTCTTTTCTGGTGGGCTGGTGTGTGGGTCAGGATCCGACCCATTGTGCCATAATCTCCAAAAAGGTTAAGAAACGAATCCTATATCGATAAACGCGCCGGCGATCATTGAATGTTGGAATGTGAAATTGGGGCGGAGTAGTAAAAACAATTAAGGCACACTTTTCAGTGTCAGCCAGCTTTTCTGCTAGTTGGTCATATTTAATGAATAAAAAAGTGAAACACTCTATTTTATAATGTTTTCTTTTTGTACTCTATTTTATAATGTTTTATTTTTGTAGATAACATACAATATATTTTAATATGTAAGCTAGTATAACTGTATGTGTGAATTAAAAACTTTATGATTAAACAATATATAAGAAGAAGTTTTTTATTCTAATTTTATAAATTTTTTTAAAAGTTGAATATTTATTTAGATATTACATGGATGCTTGTTAAGAAATTTGTATATAAAATGAAAAGATAAAAAAAAAAAATTAATTTTTTTTTTAAAATATTATATTATTATTTATATTTAAAATGACACTTATCATTTATATGACTTACCATCTTATATTATAATATATTTTTTACTTATATCATATAAATACTTTGTAGTTAAATTAATTAAAATAATTTAATATTTTTTTATTAATATTAGTAGATAATTCTTTTTAATTATAAATATAAATATAATAATTTATTTATTTTGTATGTACAATTTATGTCAAATCGAACTCCATCAATATATGATTAATTTGATATATTATAAAAAGTTAATAATAATTAATTTATTTTTAAATATATTTATAATTTAAGTTAGTAATTTTTTTTTTAATTTTAGAAGAAATATGAGGAAAGAAGAAAGATTGAGAAAAAAAAATTATGTTTTATATACCACGTCTAGAATCGAAAATAATAATAAAATATAATTAATGCTCTTACCAAAAATCATAAATATCCAATATATTTTTATACCAAACCTGATTAACTTTTAATTTGAAGTAAATTAAAATTTATCTAAACCTATTGACAAAGTATAAATCTGCCAATTAAAATTTCGAAAATGTACAACTTGTCATTTACTCCCAGCATATGTGAGAATTATATATAAGAAGATTTGACGGTTGAATTGAAAACATTGAGCTATGCGTGCATAAAGTAGCGAGCCTAGAGTATCAATCATGGAATAAAGTTATATATTGATAACTGATAGAGTTTATATTCAAATTAGTTTACCACACACATCGAGAGTTTCGTCCAAAATTAAGGAAGTCCCATCGTGCCAAAAAAATTATACATACTAGGTTTTTTATTGATTCTAATTTTGACACTCAAAAGTTTTTCGGAGAATAATGGACACCATATAATCAAAAACTAGTACGTACCCCGTGCGATGCACGGCAGAGAGATATTAAATGAATAATTTTCACAGGCTCTGTCCGTTTAAGTCTGAGAAGGGTTATTATCCATTTTCCACCTATTTTAATCACCGTTAAGTCTCGCTTAAGTCTGAAAATAGTTATCATCTATTTTCTACCTCTTTTAATCACCGATAAGTCTAACAAAATAGGGTTGTAATCTATTTTTCACATCTTTTAATCAACGTTGTTTTATTAGTCAGAACATTAAACGTGAGCATGTTAGGGCTAACTTGTAAAATAATTAATATATTATCTCACTAATACATTTATACTAACATAAATTTAATTTTATTATATATATTTATTTCTTGATATAAGAAAAATAACAATTTTACTTATTCTTATTCACTATATAATAGTTAATTATTAAACTCTGTTGCCATATAATGTCATTATTATTTATAAAGTTATACAAGTTGCACGTCTTCTTGTTCTTTTTATTTTATGTAATGAAATATATTTAATGCACGTTAGTATTATTTATATAAGTAATCAATTTAAAATATGTAAATAAATTTAAAATTAAATAGTGTATAAATAATGTACAAAATATACACATATATTTTTTTAGAATTTAATTTTGTATACTAATTAAACAACTTTGATTTAAGAAAAACCATGAACTCAATCTCTTCTAATATCAATATTTTTCTAATTTGCATTATAATGTTTATTCTTATTATATATATAGATTAGAATTTTTGCGACACCAACCAAACTAAATATCACAACAACCAAGTAACATTTATGAAAAAACCCATAACACAACAACTATCAATTAAATTTGGTAATAGAAAAATTACATACATATATATAAAAATATGAGGATTCTATATTTCTATTAACTGATGTATACACCACGTGTATATTTTGTTAAGGTATATTGGAATATTCAATCTCATAGCATGATAACGATCAGTTTTAATAAATCGAAAATCTTATTGAAATGCCATATTTTTCTGTTAAAAAAAAAAGTTCCCATAAAAAATAATTATATCATAGAAAATTCATTCTGTAATTGAACAAATTTCTATAATGAAGCCCAATTTTCTGTACAAAAATAAAGCAACAACTTCCACATTTTAAGGAAATCAATTAATAGAAAGTAATTAATGGTGAGCGAATTTGACCATATCTGTTTTTAAAAATCGTAACAGAAAAACAAATATTAAATAAAACTGTATAATACGGAAATAGTAATGGCACTAAATGCGGTTGACTTTTATAGCTACTAAATTTGGTAAATAAGACTCCCAATATAAGTATAGATTCACTTGTATATCATTGACTATTACCAAAAAGACTTGATTTATATGAACATGACTTAGTTTGACATAAATAAACACATATATACCAATTATTATTCATCAAACTGTTCGTTTTCCATACCACATGCTTTTATTTCTTACGTGTCGAGGAAACAGTAAATAAACAGCCTTTTATTTCTTATGTGTCGAGGAAACAGTAAATAAACAGCCGGGAAAGGGGGAAAAAAACAACAATAACATCTATTACTATAAAATATAGAGAAGAAAAAATGTTTGAAAAAATATTTCAATTTCTCGCTTAAAAGCTGTTTTTCCCTCTACAATTTAATTTGAAATTTTGTCATGCAGGTATTTGAATTGTTTTTATTCCATGCATGCACGTTTTCAGTTTTTTTTGGGATTTGGATTTCATTTATATATATATATATATATATATATATATATATAAGATTTTGTTTGATTAAACTCACCTATCTACAAATCACATTTTCATATGTTTACCGATCTGTTTTTTATTTCCTGTTTTTTAGGTAATCAAGCCGAGTTTAAATTATGGTATCATCCATCAAAGGAGTAATTGTTTAAGATAATTAGCCGTGAAAAAAAGAAATGAGTTTGTAATTTATTTGGTTAAATTCAGTTTTTGAGTTAATTCTTCTCTTATGAACACGTTTCTGCGGACGGATGTTGTGGTACTGCAGGAAAAGATGATTTAGATATATATAAATCCATTATCATGAAAACCTTATTTTTTTATTAATCTTTTTACACGTGACAATTATTTTGTTAAACTTTTTACACTAATCATGGTAACAATTTTTTAAATGGGAATGCTATAATAAAAAATAAAAATACAAAATTTAATCTTTATTGAAAAATTAATTTATAAGTTTTTATATACATATATATAAATCGCATATTTCAATAGAAAAATATTATTTTTTTAACATATAGTTATGCAATATATACAACTTAAATAATAGTTAAAAAAAAAATACATTGTAAAGAGTTCGTTTCAAAGTTATACCGATAAAGTAATCAAATTGGTGGAGACTAATGATAAAGGTATATATTCCATATTATGTTTTCATCGATTTATTATCTTTAAAAATACAATTATGCTGGTTATATTATCCATATAAATATAATAAATCTACCCTAAAAACGATGAAGAGGACTTCGCGATAACTAAACTTAATTATTTGGAATGTACATTTTTTTATATACATATAAATAAAAAGCCAACGGTTCACCATTATACAAATCATATAGAGATCTTTTTACTTATGTTTATTGTTTTTCACTCCACACGTATAAACTTAATTTAATCTAAATCTCTTTTTATTAAAAAGAGGTAAAATAACATTTGGTTTTCCGCCTAAACTATTTGAGTAATATTTTTTGTCAAAATTTAAAAAAATCCCGCCTAAATTAATGTACAGAATCATTTTGGTCTAATATTGCGGCTATTGCCTTTATTAGTTGCATGATTTAAATTTGGAATATAATATATTGACAAAACTTGCAACTATTACCTTTATTAGTTACATGTTTAAATTTAGTATATAATATATTACAAAAAAATAAAAAGATTTTTATTTAAATTTAAAAATAAAAAATAATTATTCATAACTTACGGGTCAATATTAACTTGGACGTAAACGAAATAGTCAATTATTTATAATTTAATAAATTACTCAACTACTTAATTTTTTTTTATTTTAATAGTTTATACAATAATAAATTATTTGAAGTAATGAAACAATATAAATTTTATATTTATACTTATTATTCACATAGACTGATAACATTTTACCAAAATAACTATTTTATGGAATCACATATAGTCAAATCGATTTTCTGAATCAAAATTTTGGAATGGTACTTATTTTGAAACGAATATAATGTAATTTATTATCAGTTATGTGCACCAGACGGGTTGTATACTAATTTCAAATTGACATTTTTATGTAATTTTGCACAATTTAGACTTTATATAACACTTTCAATAAATTAATATAAGTAAATTATATTACATATAGATTTCATATTTTAAATTTATAAATATTATTTAATAAGAACTTTTTTTTTGTAAAATTTAATAAGAATTTTTAACTATAAATATTAATAAATATCTCTTACCCGTGCATTGCACGAGACTTATACTAGTTAGCATAAATGATGATTAGATTAATTTAATGGCACGGCGAGAATTATTACAAGGAAAACGATAAGATAAAACTTTGACTAATGGTGCGGTCTATTTATTTTTTAAAATTAATATTAAAAGCAGCATGCTCCTTTGTGGAATTTCATGTGGTGGATGCTATTTGTGAACAACTTTTTTGGGTCCCATCTTCATTTGCACTTCAATCAATTCTGGTTGTCGGTTGAATTTATGTGGTGGATGCACTTTGTGAACACTTTTCTTTAATTAGTTTCATTTTACTTGCTACGATTCCCATTTCACTTTAT